TCCTTTCTCCTCCATTTGTGTCGGTAATACTTCACCTGCTCATAACCTAACAGCGGAGGTCTCTTACCTACAAAATGGAGAAGATGGAAAATCTAATGATATCTTACCATCCACAATTGCTCTTCCGCGTTGTGATGTGGACGATCAACTTCTAGAGGCCGTGCGAAACGCCGCCGTTGGTTTGGCTGTTCCGGTCGCTGAACTAGTCAATTCTTTGGCATCCGATTGGCTAAAGCCAATATGTGTTCAGCTTGAAGAGGCTGCCAAAGCGGCCTGTTCTGCTGGAAATGCTGTAGTGAGAAAGACAGAGGATCAAATGAGGCAAGCGATACAAGAAGCGAATTCTTTGAAGGTAGGTATGAGATGGATTAATAAATTTTATGTGCTTTTACTTTTGAGTGATTGTCCTTAGTCACACTCTGTCTCGCGTTTCAATTCTGAATGTTATACCCTTCTGATGTAGGTTCTGATATGCTTATCTATTTAAGCGGTATTTTCGTTCTGTTTTTATTATTTCAATTAGGTATCGTTATAAAAATGCTATCGGGCCTGTCTAATTTTTATTTTAATGTTGAGAATATTTTGATTCCGTAATGTATTTACAAATCCTTTTATTTTTATTCTTTTTAAATTGCACTGTAGTGCCTAAGGCACCTTTTTTGTAGCAAACTTCGTATTGGCCTGATTTATCTCATTAATAACAACTCTTCATTAGTGCACCAAGTTTAACTAGAAAAGTTGTTTGACCTTTTGTGTCGTCGTAGTCTCCTTTCGTTGTATAGAGGTTGTTTGATCTTGTTTTCGCAACATGGTCATATTGGTAGGAAGAGTTAGAGGAACGCACCTAGTCCGGAGTCCATTGTCTGCATGATCATTTTCATTGTTGAACCGTGGACGTGGTACATTCCCAAACGTTTCGTCGGCATCGTCAGTAGGTATCGCCATTCTTAGCACCATACAACAACTCGTCAAAGAGACAAGTGAAGCCGATCCTTTGACCAAATG